ATGATTTAATCATAGGATGCCTTAAAGGGGACAAAACAAATACTCAAGCAAATATCTTAATGTTATTAATTAGTTCTATAATTTGAAAATCACTCCCTTATCCTTGTTTATTAGTATTTGATATGTTTACTTACTATATAGTCTAGATGTGCTAATTGTGACAATCCAGTGAACAAGTAATCACAAGTAATCATTCAAACTTCTTCATTGAGCACTTGGATTCGTTCATTTGTGATGTTAGTGCTTCGTGAAATTTTGTCCAAGATATCTCTGTTGTTTGACCTTTCCAGTGAGATAAGAGGAACCAGTTGAAGATTGATGGGATATTCGTGGTTATGACTGAAGGCTCTCATTTCACTAGTAGTCAGTTTTGTTTGATTCAATTGGGCCTACAGATGATGTTCATTAGTGCTTTCCATGTATTTGTTGTGAAAGGGTTGTGAAAATTGTAAATGTTCCAAGAACCATTTCTTGTTCAGTTCTTTCTTTTTTTTTTTTTGGGGTAGGGAAGAGGAGGGTCAGGGGCAGGAGATTGGGTTTATTGGACTTTGTGGTTGGTATAAGAGGATGAGTGGTGTGATTATGGTTGTTGGCAAGTATGAGGTGGTAACTAATAGATGAAATTAAAGCTTCCAGGTGGGAAACGTTATGATCTTTTCTCTAGCTAATATTTAAGAAGTAAATGCAACTAAAGCTTCATGATCAGCTACTGCTGCACATTTATGTATTGGCTTTATGGGCATTGAGTTGCTAATACTTATTCTGAAAGCTTTTAACTTTAAGCATTGATCTGTCCTGTAATTGCCGATATGAAATGCATGTAACTAGTTTTGTTAGCAGTTGACTTTATGTTACTGAGTGGATACAAGGTTTAGTTTTTCATTGATAGCAGATTGATCTTAAGTGTGAGTGGGTTGCAAAATTTCCCCCTGGAAGTGATTATTTCGTCGAATACAGAAAATTTGAACAAATTTAAATCATTAGAATGGTTCCTAACTTTGAATCAAACAAAATGACATGGCTCGTGGCCTAACCCAGAGTAGTGGAAAAGGGGTTCATGTCTTTACATCGTGGCTCTTAGGTCTTATCATGAATGGCTTCGCCTCTGGAATCACGACAATTTAATTTGATCTTTAGCAAATACATAGTGGCTTTTCTGGAAAGCTCTTGTTAGTATGATGATCTAATGATCTACAACAAACTTTGTGCACAGGTGGAACCAGCTGAAGATTGATGGGGACTTCGTGGTTATGACTGAAAGCTCTCATTTCATTGGAAAGTTTGGAAGCTACTGTTAGTTCTTTCAACTTGTTAGGGATGAGAATCTTTTAGTTTGTGCACAAGAGAGTATTTCAAGTTTGTGTACATGAGAATGTTTTAGTACTTGTTTGGGATTTTAGTACTTGCTATGTTTGTACTTGTTACCGACTTTTAATTCAATGAATTATATTTGAGTATCGACTTCTTCTTTTAAATTGCTATATGCATTCTGCTCTTTGGGTTAATTTTACAAGTCCCTTGGGATTCTGGTTGATGGAATGTACAGCGGGGAGGACTAATTGCAGGTTGCTTCCATATAAAAAAAAATAGGGAAAAAACTCCTGGCAATTAAAAGTGTAAGCATAGCTTAGCTTCGAAAAACACTAATGACAAATGGGCATGTCATCCAAAGCAGTGTAAATTCACATGGCTACGTGTCCTTAAAGCCATATATTAAGACAATTCAAGATGCCTTCATAAATTGGATATCCTACTGATCCGCTACTGATGTTCTAATGCTGCTCTTCATTTGGTCGAGACATTAGCAGCCAACGATATCACAAGTTGAGCAAATACATAGTGGCTTTTCTGGAAAGCTCTTGTTAGTATGATGATCTAATGATCTACAACAAACTTTGTGCACAGGTGGAACCAGCTGAAGATTGATGGGGACTTCGTGGTTATGACTGAAAGCTCTCATTTCATTGGAAAGTTTGGAAGCTACTGTTAGTTCTTTCAACTTGTTAGGGATGAGAATCTTTTAGGTTGTGCACAAGAGAGTATTTCAAGTTTGTGTACATGAGAATGTTTTAGTACTTGTTTGGGATTTTAGTACTTGCTATGTTTGTACTTGTTACCGACTTTTAATTCAATGAATTATATTTGAGTATCGACTTCTTCTTTTAAATTGCTATATGCATTCTGCTCTTTGGGTTAATTTTACAAGTCCCTTGGGATTCTGGTTGATGGAATGTACAGCGGGGAGGACTAATTGCAGGTTGCTTCCATATAAAAAAAAAAAGGGGAAAAAACTCCTGGCAATTAAAAGTGTAAGCATAGCTTAGCTTCGAAAAACACTAATGACAAATGGGCATGTCATCCAAAGCAGTGTAAATTCACATGGCTACGTGTCCTTAAAGCCATATATTAAGACAATTCAAGATGCCTTCATAAATTGGATATCCTACTGATCCGCTACTGATGTTCTAATGCTATACTGACACTTTCGATTATCACAAAAAAAAGTTTTTGTTGGCAGAGGGAATGTTATAGCAGCATGATTTTCTTGACACATTTGAATGTTGCTAAAGATTTGAGGCTATCCCCACATTGGAAGGGACAACACTCGCCCTAGGTGTGAGGATAGATAAAGTGTCAGGTTAGATTATCTATACTGACACCTTTAAATGCCTCTAAAGGCCATTTTTGTTGTAGTGGAATAATATTTATTACTGCATGTATTTACACGATTTATTAGATGTAATTTAAGTGTGTTAATGAGAACCCATTAGACACCCGTTAAAAAAAAACATAAAAAACAACTAGGTTCTCAAGAAATTAATACTCATCTACCATTTCCTAAGTAAAGAGGCTCACTTGTGTATGTTCAAGTCAAACCATATTTTTCCAAGGAATGGTTGCGTACCCTGTAAATTTATAGCTAAATACTGAAATAACTTTTTCTTAAGATATAGAAAATGATTTTAAGCATCAATCTCGATCTTGTATTTAAAATTAATCACAATGATAGGGGACTAAATCCAACTACCTTGTTGAACATAGATCAGATGGGACTAGGTTATAAGTTCAGGGCCATCTTATCAAGTAGTGTTTTTTTTCCCTCTTTATTTTTTATTATAATTTCTGGAGGGAAAATTTTTTGAGTCAATTTCTAGTCAATGGTCCCGCACATAATATTTTCTTCTGAAATATGTAGAATTCAATGGAACGAAATTTTTTAGTATTAGAACTCTGAAAGAAGACTGGTCTTCATGAATATTTATATCTGGGTTTGTCAAATAAGTGCCCACTCAAAATGAGCTTCAAGTGTTAGTTATTTGCAAATACTATGTACAATAGAGTAAGTGTCTACATATAGGAAGGGCAATAAATAAAAGTCTATATACACATATGGGAAATTATGTGTAATTTGCATCTATTATCGAATGCTCAACAAACAACTCTGAAGCAAAAAAACTCTTATACATAACTGTTGAGAACTAGATTTGCATTTCTTGGCAAGTATAAAGAGCTTTTTCTAACAGGTGCCCAATTGGCACTTGTTCTCAATCATATCTAACATATCATATGAATCTACACATTAACAATTACTATTTTTACTATAACGAGTTTTCTCATGAACAGTAGAAAGAAAGTGGTGTCGATTGTCGATTGCTGGATATTTATAGTTTTATACATGGGCACAAAATCACGGACGGGTAGATTTTGGTATTTTCTTCTTGACTATATTAAATTATAGAAATGGTAATAAATGAGTTTCTAAAACTTTGAATCTTGCCAAACTAAGAAAAAGAAATGAGTTGCCTCTTTGGCTGTTGCCAAATAGGAAAAGAAAAGTATTTTATTTCTTTATTGATTAATCTTTCCTACACTGACACACTGTCAGTGTTGGATAAATGATGATTATGAAAAATTTGAATTTGAAATTTAATTTTTGCACATGTATTATGGATCCAACGATGATAGTGTATATACTGTTAGTGTATATAAGATTTACTTTTTATTTATTTTAAATTAGTTGTGAACTTGTGCAAGTGTGAATAATTAAAGTTTAAAAAAAAGTGTACTTAAATATTCAATATATTCTAAGTGTTTAACTATCATACCCATCTTTGAACACTTCTAGACATACTTTTACTAAAGTGTTGTGTAATAACATTGATCATATACTACAATGCATGCCAAAAACAAAATAAAAAAAAGGAAAGATACTTTTGTGATAATTAAAATGTTCACAATGACCATAAACCTAGAACTACATCTTCCTACTCAATTAAATAAAAAAGATGCAAAAATTCATTTTCTCATGAATAAATATTCAATTTCCGACAATACTAATAAATCTACTAGTGTAGCAATTAAAACTACACTAAATAAAGTTAATCCATATTGATAAAAAAAATATATACAAATTTGTTTGAAAAAGATAAAAATTGTTAGAAAAGAGATAAATCATAAGAAAAATAATTCAATTTTATTTAGAAAGATAAATGTTATTAAAAGAGAGGGCAATTATAAGAATACTTAATTAGAGAAGAGTTGTATACTAATGTGGGTAAAACCTAGGAGAGAATATGGGTAATTAAATTTATGGAAAATCGTTCCAAACGTCCATCATATTTCATCAAACAAATTTTTTGTTTCTTCGTTTGAAAATATTAACTTTACATCTCTTACAAATTCAAGTTAACAAATTTTGATGGCAATCTAAGTTTCTAACTACTTTATAAATTGATTTATGATTTAGAATTAGCTGCAATTGTGTTTGCACTAAAACTATGGAGGCATTATTTGTGTGGAGAGCAATGCGAGGTGTTCACTGATCTCAAGAGTTTGAAATATTTATTTACTCAGAAAGAGTTAAATATGAGGCAATGGAGGTGGCTAGAATTAATAAAAAAAATTATGATTTAATCATTAACTATCATCTTGGAAAGGCAAATCGAGTAGCAGATGCCAGAAAAACAATTACCACTAGCAAACCTGATTTGAAAAAACAAATGGCATATCTAAACTTAGATCTGGTAGATTCTACTGATGAAGTTTTAGCTGCATTGGTGTTAGCACCAACTTTGATTGATAGAATTAAAGATGTACAAAGGTTAGATCCTGAACTTGAGAAGGTAAAGAAGAAGCTTAAGGCTGAACCATCCAAGAAATTTCAAATGAAAGTTGATGGTAGCCTATGGATGAAGGGAAGGTTATGTGTACCTGAGAATGAAGAAATAAAAAGGAAAATTTTAAAAGAGACTTACAACACAAAATTTTCTATATACCTAGGAGGAACTAAAATGTATCAAGATATGACACTGATGTATTGGTGGAATGGGATGAAAAGCAAAATTGCTGAATATGTTGCGAGATGTTTAGTATGCCAATAGGTTAAAATTGAACATCAAAGACCAGCTAGATTACTACAACCATTAGAGATCTCACAATGGAAATGGGAGCATATCACAATGGATTTTGTGGTAGCATTACCAAGGACCAAAGAAGGCCATGATACCATTTGGGTCATTGTGGACCGTTTGAACAAAAGTGCGTATTTCCTACCCATTGCAAATGGAATTTCCATGAAAAAGTTGGTGAAGATGTACATTTCAGACATAATATGTTTACATGGAGTACCAGTAAGTATTATGTCTGATAGAGACCCTAGGTTTGTATCAAGATTTTGGTCCACATATCAAAGAATGATGGGAACAAATCTTAGATTGAGTATTGCTTTTCATCCATAAACAGATGGGCAATCTGAGCGAACAATTCAGACTTTGGAGGATATGCTGTGAGCATATGCACTCAAATTTAAAGGAAGTTGGGATAGAATGGTTAAGCTGATGGAATTCTCCTACAGTAATAGCTACCATAGTGGGATTGGAATGGCCCCATTTGAAGCATTAGGTGAAAGAAAATGCCAATCCCCATTATATTGGGATGAGTTTGGAGAAAAAATGATTTCTAGGCCAGATTTGGTTGAGAAGACTTTAGAGAAGATTAGGATCATCAAGGACAAATTAAAGGCGGCTCAGGATCGTAATAAAAGTTGGGTAGACACTAAAAGGAGACACTGCAACAAAAATGGCCTTTCCTGACATGCCTATAAGGACATTTGCTGATTTGTGTCATTATAACACTTCTATCATGACATTTATTATCAACTCAATAATATATACTATAAATTTTTTATTTTATATGATATAAAAATAATAATATGCCTTTAGACTACCTATCATGACACTTGAGAAAATGTGAGATATTCCAAAAAAAAAAAAGAATGACACAAAACGACATCATTTGATTTTGGCAGAAGATTAATTTTCCAAAACACTTAGGGAAATACTCAAAACTTTCATTTTCTGGCCAAAGACTTGGTGAAATTTTGCTTCTTCTCATCTCTCTCACAAGAAACAACCTCTCCGCAAACAAACTATCTTAGCAAATTATCTCTCGGCCAAAACACTTGGAGTTTTTTCTACTGAATCTCTCTGCACAAACAATCCTTGCTTTCCCATTGAAGGTGCGTAATTGCATGGTAAATTTTTTTATTTTATGAGTAATTAGATAATGTTTTTACCGAATCTCGCCATAAAGAAGCTGTCTGTTCTTCAGGTTGTTCTTTTTTTTCTGAGATTATATTGGACATTATTAGCTATCCTTGAAGTCGTGTACTATATTGTGTTGAATTAGGAGAGTTAAGTTTCAAAGTTTGCCCTAAATTGATTACATTTGAGATTAGTCCCATCTGTTTGAGATTGAAATGTATGTAATTATAGTTTATGATTTGAGTGCACTTGTTGTTCAACTTTATTCCTCTTGATTGTCTACTTGATTCATATAACTATTTTGTTATGGATTTGTTGTCCATAACCTGTTCGATAAAATGTCAAGTCCCCCCTATTTTTCCCTTTTTCTGAATTTCTTTTAATGTTAATATGTGAAACTTAGTTGTAATTGAAGTTCTCTTTAAGCAGCTAGGTTTTTATGAATATCATGCTGACTCACGCTCTTGTGTTGTTTAACCTTTGAAATTTCAGATTGAAATTAGGAATTTTGCGAAGACGCGAGCACAGGAGTTGGTCTGAAAAGCTTTTTTCTATTATCAGGTAAATAAAATTTATATTCGCTTGCTTGCAATTTATTTTTTTACGGATTGTTGAGAAATTTTGCATTTTGTTGATTTCCTTTATTTGCTCGACTGCTTGATTTAGTAGACTGTAAAGTTTTGAACTTGATTAAAGTTACATTCAGCTTTTCTCGACTATGTGGTTAAGAAAGTACATTGTGATGAACAAAGTGCAATTTCAAGTTTTCTCTAATTATTGTAACTAGTGCATATGTTTTTAAGCTAAATGTCAGTCTTACTATAATGCCTATTGCAATTTTAATGTCATGTTGTCGCATAATTATTTCTATTTTCCTATTTTGCTTTGTCTTTTTACCAACTTAATATTGGAATCTTGCAACTTAATTTTATAGTCTTTAATCCTAACACCTTGTACAAGCTGTTGTTGTGTGTTCACATCTTCATTGCTTCTTATTCTCAATGATTTGATGGGAAAATGTTTAGAATGACATTTGTCCAGTTTTCTAAGTACTATTTTGTAATTGTCGGTTTTGTGTTGTGGGAAGCTTGTTGGAGGACATTTATTTATATTAGAAGTATGGATAAAAGTTGGATAGATTTCCCAAGAACAAGTGAAAGTACGAGGCAGGACTTAAAATGTTTCTAGACTTTGCATTTTCTAGATCAAATTGTGATGAAATGATTTTGTGTCCTTGCAAAAATTGTGGCATGGGTGTTTGTGTGACTAAAATGGAAGCATATGACCGTTTGAAAGTGGTAGGATTTATTAAGGGTTAGAATAATTGGATAGCACATGGAGAACTTTCAAATTATAATGAAGCCACATCTAATTCTGAAAATACATCAGTTGATGAAGCCACATCTAATTCTGAAAATACATCAGTTGGGGTTTCAAATGGGACTAATGACATGCAAGACTTAATCCATGATGTATTTGGGATACTACATGGAACAAATGAATTGAATATAGAATGGGACATTCCTATTTTAGAGACTGAAGAATTTTACAAATTGATTGATGATTCTTAATAGGATTTGTACAATGGTTGCAAATGAATTGAAGTTTGAGCATGACTTTGATTCTTGTACTTGTTGGATCTTTTACTAGGTAGGAAATACGGTTTCACTGAAAAGTTTGTTTGATCCAACAAAAGTCATGGCAAAGGAATATTTACGTAGTCTAAATCCATTGGATGAGGTCGGGGGACAAGCTCTTAGACCAAACTGGTGTGAGATACAGATACAAGTTGCAATGAGTCCAAGTGGGCAATTGATTAGATCATATGATTTGCAACAAGCAATTCAAGATGCACTTGGCGCACCAATTGCATGGCCTTATCGTTTGGTAATATATGTACTTATTTACTCATTAGCTTTTCAAAAATTTTATTGCTAGATATGATGATCTGATGATCCCCACCTTGTATGGAATGTCCAAGTAGGCCTCTTTCTAACTTCACAAAAAATCAGCTAGTATATGTGATCAAGGTATATTAGAATTTTTTGTAAGTAAATTATTGTGATATGTATGACTATTTTGGGCTGATTACTAATGAATGATACTACATATTATACTTTATGAATAGTTAACAGAGGGAAATTCCTATTTTTGAAGCTTCATTTCTACTTGTTGCTCAAACTAAAATATTTATGGTTAGGACTATTTTTTATACCAAATTACTTTGTGGACAGGTGGTACCAACTGAAGATTGATGGTGTCTTCGTGGTTATGACTGAAGGCTCTCATTTGGTGGAAAAGTTTGGAAGCTATTGCAAATTCTTTCAACTTTTTACATTAGGAGAATCTTTTATTTTAATTTTAGTTAGTGGCGTTGTTTAACATTGTTACACTACTTTAAAACTTTTTCGATTAACTATGTTAGTACTTGTTATTGACTTTTAGTTCAACAAATGATAATTGAGCATTGACTTTTGCTTTTAAATTACTACATGCATTCTATTCTTTGGGATAATTTTACAAGTCTTTGGGTTTCTAATTGACAGAATGTATAGTAGGGAGCACTATCAGGTTGCTTCTTTTTTTTCTTTATTTTTTTAAAAAAAATCCTGGCGGTTAAAAGTGTCAGCATAGCTCAGCTTCTAAAGTAATATCTACTGACACATGAGGATGTCGTCCAAAGCAATGTTTTATGACATGGCTAAGTGTCCTTAAAAGCCATATATTAAGACAACTCAAGATACCTTCATAGAATTCGATATCCTAATGTAGTACTACAGCTATCCTGACACTTTCGATTATCAAGAAAAGAGATTTTTGTTGGTAGATGGAATACTGTAACAACATAGTTTTTTTGACACATTTGAATGCTAAGAGCCTATCCTCACATTGGAAGGGATAATACTCGTCTGAGGTGTGAGGAAAGGTAAAGTGTTAGTTTAGATTATTTATACTGACACTTTTAAGTGCTCTTAAAGGCTATTTTTGTTGTAGTGAGACCGTTAGAATTTAATAAAGGGGATAAGATATATTTGAAAATTTTCCCTTCAAAAGATATTATGAGGTTTGGAAAGAGTGAAAAGTTAAGCCCCAGATACATAGGCCCTTTTGAGATACTTGAAAGAGTAGGAAATTTGGCGTATCATTTGGCACTGCCACCTGCTCTATCCAAAGTCCATAATGTTTTTCACGTGTCCCAATTGAGGAAGTATGTCTCTGATCCAAGTCACGTACTGGAGGTGAGAGAAAACACATCCTACAAAGAGCATCCAGTGAAGATTGTTGATCTAAAGGATCAGGTGCTTAGGTGAAGGACGATTCCGTACGTCAAAGTCCAATGGACAAACCATACGGAGAGAGAAGCAACATGGGAGTTGGAAGAAAAAATGAGAACAAAGTATTCGCAATTGTTTACACAAGATATGTCAATTTCGAGGATGAAACTTATTTTAAGGGGAGTAGAATGTAATATCCCTAAAATCTCACCCTTACCATAGAACATAGGCAAATCTTTCCCTATAAAAAAATCACTTCCCAAAAATCCTTATGTAGACAAAGGAATCTAGTCATATTACTAAACGCTACTAATAAGATTCAATGAATGTAGTCAATTTTTTTCTTTAATTTTCATGGTAAGATTTCCAATTACATTTAGTATCATTAATATGTAATTGCCAGCCAACCATTAATCAAACCTATTTCCATTACTAATTAGGATATTTCCTATAGTAAGATTTAAAATACAATTAATAGCATTTATGTCTGATTACTAATCAAATCTCAATCAATCCATTTAGAAAATATTATCAACTAATAATTAGGACGTTAACTTTTTAATTGAGTCTTGACACCCTACTAATCTTAGGCTTGTATATACCGTTTACACAAAACTAAATCATCCTTTCTTCGACAAACTGACAAACACAAAGGTGAGTTTGAGAGAGAGGGTGAGCAAGCTTTTGGAAGAGGAAAAGAGGGAGGAGAAGGAACTTTGAAGTCAGATAACAACTCGTGACTGCAACGCAAGTAAGACTCTAAGATTTTATTCTTGTCAAATCGAACTTTAAGATTTATCATACGTACCTTAGTTTATGAATTTTAGTGTAATTAACTGGATCTCAGAACTTTGGAAATTATTGATTAAATTCTAGTAGAATCTGCCGAGTAACGCTTAAAGGATTGTGTTATAATTAATCCATTTGAATGTGCCTTGACTTAATCTAACAATAGTACTTATTCTTTAAAAGATCATGTTGGCCTAAAAACCATAAAGAATGTAACCCACGTATGTAGTCAGATCCTATGCATATTAGTTTCCTTGTTATCATGCACATGTCATTACTTGGATTTGGAATCATTATGGGTTATGTTTACCAGTATAGTGTAGTACCTTCAATGCCTTACAAAGGTCTCTTTTGTTTAGACTATCGTCCATAAAGCAATGCAATTAGTTTCTGATTCAAATCTAGTTCTTCATCTTAGTGTTTTAGACTATTATAAGTTACGCAAATTTGGCACAATTAGTAGTCCCTGACCAACAACTTGTAAATTATTTTAGTAGCGTCACATCTAGAATATTTAAGTATAAGACTGAATTTTCAGCCATGAATGTTCTAACGTTACTTATGTTATTACAACTTCAAGTTTATCTTATAACCATTACTAATTATCCGTAACTGAATGACAATGATTGTATCTTAGGAAAAAGTGAACCTTAATGCTTGAAAAACATAAACTTCCACCTAAAAAGAGAAGACTACTAAGATGATAGCACCAACTTTCTATGACTTTTCATTAACGACATTAACAGTGATAAGTACTTAACAGCCTAAGTGTTATAATTATGTATTTCTTACAACTACCTCATTTGGTGTTAAGGATAAATTATAAACCTTTTTAATGTACTAAAGTTATTGCTAGGGTACAGCCACAACTGCAATTGTTTCAGGGTCATTGACGTTTTAAGAACTTTTCCAAAAATAGATGACTTCTAAAGTTTTGGACTTTTCTAAGTTAATTCATGACCTTTCTAAAATAAAGACTTAGCTAAATTAACTAAACTTCCCTTAATGATTGATTTTTCCAAGAATATTTACCTAAATAAGTATTCCTTCCAAAGTTAGTAGACTTCCCAAGAATAGTAACTTTCTAAGAAAGAAAACTTTCTAAAAATAGGAAACTTAATTAAAAAGGGAAATATTATATATAGAAACTTTACTCGTATGGAAATGTTAAGTATCTTAAGGTTAAACATCTCTAGAGGATGCATTAAAGAAATAAGTGATGAACAATTGATGCTCGTAAAATAATAGATTTACATGTCATTTCTCTAGGGTTAGATGGCAAGGATCAAGAACCCTAGTAGGACTTTCTTCCAAATTGATCAAGGTGAGTGGGATTTACCCCTTGTATTTTCTAAAATCGTTTTGGCAATGTTTAATAAAGTGTTTACTTTCTTTATATGAAAATGGACCCTGTATAGCTATATTTGTTGAACCTATATGCTTCTTGTTATGAAATCTATGTGTATATGAGATGTTCATGCTTATATAATATTATGTGATTTTACTTGATTAAGTGTGAATATTAATGTGACCGCTCTGATGGTCACGACATAATCGGTAGGGGCTATAGTCCTGTCAATGTCAATATAAAGTAAAGTAAAGTAAAGTGCAATGTTGGTCAAAGGGTACTCCGGAGGCCCTTTGGACTGCCCATTCTAGTGGGGTCAATCACTAGACTGAGTTCTCAGCGCTGATGAAGGCGTGTAACTATTAAGAGCCGTTAACTGTTTAATAAATATTTATATACGATACTAATATGCAAGGAATGTTTACTCTTCATGAAATTGTGTGTTTACATGTATAACTTTTGAAAATGCATAACTGTATATATATATGTACCATATTGGGTCCAACAAGGGCGGGTATGTTTTACTCACTGAGCAAGTTGATGCTCATCCCAATATTTTAACATTTTATGCAAAGGATGAGTACGTGTACGAGTTTGTTGAGGCTGATGGTGATTGGGATTGCTAGAGTAGGATTGCTAATGGAATAATCAAATAGTGATTGAATAAATGTTATATTTAGATCCATTATGTTAATAATGAGCATATATGGCTTGATAGAAATGATTACTTAATCATTTCATTTTTATTTCTGTATTAATAGAAATAAGTTCTGCACTGGATTTCCATTGCTTCCACAAATAAGATGTAATGATTATTGATGCCTTGTATCTTGGAGAATTATATTGTTTGAGGTACGGCGACTATTGCATTTCGAGCAAGGGCTAGCTCGGGGCATGACAATATGTGTGTGTCTATGTATTTTTATATAAATAAAATGTTGTTTTGATAGATTGTTAAGTTAGACACATCCAGGTTCTTTCAAGTTGACACTTTCTCTTGCGGCCATATGGACAAATTTGATGTTTGTGTTTCTTGGTAGTTATTTTCTCTTTCATTTTGTTATTTATAATGATCAATTCCGTTTCTTTTTTCCCTTATTTATAGTAAATTTAGTTTATTTATTATTCCTTACATTATATACCTACTTCTACTCTAGGGGAGTCTAAAGAGACTTGTATGACAATTAACTCTGAAATTGCCCCATGAGTTTTCTCTCTATGGGTCTTCTCCTTGCGCGTGCAAGACTTTAGTCTTTCCTAGGTTTGGGATCTTTCAAATCTTAGTGAAAGTTCAGTTTTGTTTTAGAGCAATTTCCTTCTATCCAAATCAACATCTATCACTCTTTCCACTTGAGTTTTATTTCCTTTCATATTGTGTTTTCTCTTTTCCCGAATACTCATTCCCTGTTTCCTCTCTTTTTCTTTCATGTCTCTTTGGTTTTATCTTATTCTTTGTTTGCTTTGTTTTTCTTTTGCTATGCAGTCGCATTTCAAGGTGTTTTCTTTTTCTTTTGTTATGGTGTAATTTTTTAATGTACCTAATATCTGCTTTTACTGATGTATCAACCATACTTACAATCATAAACACCTTTTCAATTTATTTGATTTTACTGCTTGATTAAACAACTCAATTTGATGAAACAAATATCACATTTAACTACATAAGCATCAATCAAGTATTTTTTTCGTGTACGTCTACAACCTGCATTCACATGTGAAGTCAAAATTTTTCTAGCGTCTTTACATGCGGAACAATGTAATACACCAAGTAATTTCTTAAAACTTACAAACTTAAATAAATTATATAACAATAGATCAATAAAAAAATGAAAAAGAAGTAAAAAAAAATGGAGAAAGGAGACAAACCCCGGAAAAGCAATCAATTAGCTAAAAAATTACAGACAAGCAATAACTTAAGGGCAAGCAAAAATTAATATGATAGCTAATGTAGCCTTTGAGTACAAAATTAACACAAAAAATGCAGATGAGGGTAATCCAATAGTTTCATTGAAAACCAAGATGATAATACAAGCAAAATAAACTAATCCCGATACATATTCAACTCCTTTGCGATTTAAAAATAGATAAAATCGGTTCAAGACATGTGATCTTTTTCTATTAAATATGAAGGAGTGTAGTATAAAATATATTTCTAAGTGACTACCCCATAGATTGTATAGTTTTTTTTTTATACTAACAGATGCAGTACATGCTATATGTACATAATGTAGATTTTAAATTTGAATAGAACTTGTGTGGTAGCATCTAACCTGACTAGTGTGACAAAACTTTTACACTGAATCATGTAGAAGCTAATCTTAAATCCTAAAATAATTTGGACCAATTGAGAGTTGAGCGCTTTCTCTTCCTTTTAAAGGCTCCCAATCTGGTTCTTGCTCAAAGGGAACAAACAATGAAGTGAAATTTTCTTGAATGCCAAGTCAATACAAATGAATAAGATCCTCTACGTGTGTAGCACATTGGGAACAGTAGTGATTATATACATACATACAGAGAGACATTTGTAATTATATATATTCACATACATACATAAATACATACATAGATATATGTTCTTGAATTAGATAATTTTCCTTTTTTTTTCATAGATTAGTCTTCGGTTGATTGTTGCTACTACCTTGACAAAAGTGATTTCATTTATGTACAAGAATTTGATAAAGGATAAGAAATTAGAATTGTGCCACTGTCTTATCTTTTTCACAATAGAAAAAAAATATTTTAATAACATACTATATTAATTTGCCAAAGAATATGCATTAAAAGTAAGGTTGTCCAATCTTTTTGTGGAATAACTAATAAAGAACAATGGAAAATTAAGATGCATTTCATTGGAGATAACAACTTCAAGATACAAGGATGCACAAGTTTCTTGTAAGGATTCTAATAGCATCACAAATATAGTAAAAAGTTATAAATATATATACAACTTTCTCAACCATCTATAACCAAAACAAGTTCACTTGGTACTTTGGACACATATTGGTGAAAAAGTTTTACTGCTTTGTTTTCAATCACTTTCTTCTCTTACAAAGTTAATCGAAAAAGCATTGGTGCTGTCAAATTTAGTTGAATTTTTATTGAAACACTCCAAAGAGTAACCATCCACAAAGCCCAATTTCCTATGGTGGCTAGGGTTTAAACAAAGTTTGCAATTAAAAATTGAGCAGATCGATACTTAATAATATGGAATTGTTATGAAACAACTAAATGAGACTGAATATCCATTAAAGTCTCCTATGTCCGTTAAGTTTTTCTATGTCTATTGAATTCCCCTGAGGAGAAGAGAATCTGTGTGGATGACGGTTTAGTTTTCCTATACAATTAATTTTGTAACCTCTCTTATATTTAGCTGTTAATCTTTTAGTTTTCTTATATTCAATGTTTCTATAAATAGAGGTCATTGAACATCTCTTTGGAAGTCTTGATCATTTTGAGTTAATAAAAAAATAGTTCTCTGCTTTTGTCTGCTTCTCTCTTTTTTATTCTATCCTACATCTTGTTATTTTATTAGTTTTACAATATGTTATCAGCACAAGACTCTATTTCTGAGCAAAAGTGAACCACAAGACTCTGTCGAGACTCTACCAATACTGAATCAACAATTGGGTATTTTCTCGAACAACTTTTGGCTACATATATAGGTAAATTTCTGACTTATAAATCTATTTAAATTTCTTATGGCTAACCTTACAAAACAAGAGTTCGTACCTCTTGATATTTCTGAAAAAAATTATTTAACATGGGTATTGGATGTTGAAATTCATCTTGAGCCAATGAGTCTTAGTAATACTATTATTGATAAGAATAAATTCTCAAACCAAGACCGTGCCTAGGCTGTGATTTTCATTTGTCATCATTTAGATGAAGGATTAAAAATAGAGTATCTTACTGTCAAAGATTCTCTTGTCCTTTGGAAAGATTTGAAAGATAGATTCGACCACCTGAAATTGGTCGTTCTTCCAAAAGCTGAGTATGATTGGCTTCACTTATGGCTACAAGATTTTAAATCTGTCAACGAATATAATTTAGTCATGTTTAGAATCACTTCTCAATTATCATTATGTGGTGAAAGAGTCACTGATAAAGATATGTTAGAGAAAATATTTTTGACTTTTTATGTCTCTAACATGCTCCTGCAGCAACAATACCAAGAGAAGAGATTTAAAAAATATTCTGAACTCATTGCATGTCTTCTTTTGGTTGAACAAAATAATGAATTATTGCTAAAAAATCATGAGTCTTAACCAACTAGTGCTAGTCCATTCCTTGAAGCGAATGCGATTCAATTTCAAAATTCTGGTCGAAATCGTGGACCTGGCCGTAGAAGTGACCATAGAGAAGGGCGTGGATGTGGATGCGGTCATGGTAGACTTGTGACTCATGAAATTATAACCGTGGCAAACAACAAAATATTTTCCAGAAGTGGGATAATTACAATGATCAAAAAAATAAAGAAAAGAAACTTTATGAAGAAAAATGCTACAGATGTGGTATGGAAGGTCATTGGTTCAATACTTGTCATACGGCTGATCATCTTGTTGACCTCTATCAAGCATCATTAAAAAAGAAAGACAAAGGTGTTGAGACAAATTTCATTGATCAAAAGAATGATTATGATGATGCTGATGATGCTGATATGACACACTTCGATGTAGTTGATTTCTTTGAACATCCTGAAAATGTCAGATGATTATGTAACAAATACCCTATACTTGTTTAGATATTTTGTGATATTTTGTATCTTTAATGCAATTTTCTTTCTATTCAATATTTATTTTCGCATCTTTTATTAATATTTATTTTTATTTAAAACTTTCTTCCTGACGAAAAAATAGATGCCAAATATTTGGGATTAAATAATGGTGATGATGATAGTTGTCTCATTGATAGTGCTACTACGTGCACTGTATTAAAAAATAAAAAGTATTTTCTTATTTGAAAATGGGAGAGACAACTGTTAATGCCTTCAGTGATAGTACAAAATTAATTGAAAGCTCTAAAAGAGCCATTCTATTTCTCCCTGAAGGGACTAGAATTATTATAAATAATGCACTACTCTCTCCCAAGTCTCGAAAAAATTTATTGAGTTTTAAAAATATCCACGAAAATGGATATTATATCGAGACAATGAATGAGAGAAATGGTGAATTTTTATTAATCACAAGCACCATTTCTAGGCAGAAATGTGTATTAATCACAAGTGCAATTATTATAAATAATGCACTACTCTCTCCCAAGTCTCGAAAAAATTTATTGAGTTTTAAAAATATCCACAAAAATGGATATCATATCGAGACAATGAATGAGACAAATGGTGAATTTTTATTAATCACAAGTACCATTTTTAGGCAGAAATGTGTATTAGAAAAATTGCCTTCACTTTCTTCTGACTTATACTATGCACAAATTAGTGCAGTTGAAATTCATCACCTAATAGACCAGAAGTCTACTCATCCTAATGATTTTATGATTTGGCATGATCGTTTCGGACATTCTGGATCTATAATGATGAGACGAATAATCAAGAATTTACATGGCCACTCATTGAAAAATCAAAAGGTATTAAAAGCCAATAAATTCTCCGGTGTTGCTTGCTCTCAAGAAAAATTAATTATTAAACTATCACTAGTTAAAGTTGGGACTGAATCCCCTACATTCCTAGAATGAATTCATGGTGATATATGTGGACTTGTAGATTCACCATGTGGACCATTTTGATATTTTGTGGTGCTAATTGATGCATCAACTAAATGGTCACATGTATTTTTTTTTAGGCCAAAATTATATATATATTTCCCAAAAGTCAAGACCCATTAAATGAAGACACCAGAGGCTAACGCGTAGGGCTATCACTCCCGTACACGATGAACCCGAACATTCAAGAATTCCCTACTATCCAGGAGAACCATTGCCCTTACTTTCCCTGGGAGGCTAGCAAAGGATGTAGCGACCCACTCCCTCCCCAAGTGGATCCTGCAAGCTCATCGCCTGCTTGGTTCGCCTCCCTAAAGCTGTGACACTGGAAGCAGAGTAGGACCTAACTAACTCCCTGATCTAGCAAAATGCCTTGTGTTAACCAGGTTGACCAGTGTGAGCGAATCTGCTTCCACCAGGAGTCTCCCCTTGAACGCAATTGAGCACAATCTGAGGCCATGAAGTAATGCCAGACTCTCCGCCGTAAGGACGTCCGTCTCCCCGAATTCCTTATAAAATGCAAAAATGACCTTGCCTTCATGGTCCCGAAGCAAGCCACCCCCTGCTCCCCGTCCGTGGACAACACTCGCGTCCGTGTTCAACTTCACATACTGAAACGGAGGCCACTTCCATGAAACCGGCAAGACACCAACCTTCTTCCGGCGGGGGGAGAAAAGACTCCTCCATGGATCCTCCGAATCTCCTCTGAAGTGCTCCGATTGAAAATTTTTTGCCCGCCCTAACTGTACCATAAACTTTTCAACCATGCAGATAACCCCACGAGCGCTGAAAGTCTCCCCGTCAAATCGTGCCCTGTTGCGGCCCTTCCATAAAAACCACAATACCGCGCAAGGAAGTAAAACCCTAATATGCTCCCGCCCCATGCAAGATGACGAGAGGAACCACGCCAGGCACATAGCCGCAACCGAGCGAGGCCTGGGACCCACAATGCCAAATCGCTTCAGGAAATGCTCCCACACTTGTGTCGCAACCGGACCATCGATGAGAAGATGTGACAATGATTCCGGGTGGGCCGAGCAGCACACACAGCATGAGGCGAGACTGAAACCCCGATTCTGTAAAATCGTGTCCACCGGGACCATTCTCCGTAGAACCTTCCAAACAAAAAAAGAAATCTTCAAAGGAATCAACCCACTCCAAATCCGGCTATCAATTGACGACACGTTGCCCCTCTGTCTAACCGCTGCCCAAGCCGTTTTTAATGCGAAGCCTCCGGATGACGAATCCCCCCACACCATGTCATCGTCTTGGTCAGGGAACAGCTGAACCTGAAGGATTTGCTGCACCAAATAGGGAGGCAACCAACTCGCCAACCGCCCCCCCTTCCATCCCTCCTCCCTGTGGAATTCCGCCAGCAGCATATGCGGGTAGTCGGATAGTTGCACCATCTCCGCCAGGGGGCGATCCGATAACCACCGATCGAACCAGAAATCGACGAACCCCCTGCCCAGACACCATCTGATTTTGCTCTCTGCAACAGCGCGAACCTTCTCCAGCCGACGCCAAGACATTGGAAGTCTAGCAACCTGCACCACTATGGGGTGCACCCCCTTGATATATTTTGACTACATGAACTCAACCCATATAGACTCTCTCTTCCGTAGCCTCCACCATAGCTTACAGGCAAAGGCCCTACTCATATCGTCAAACGATCGAAAATCCAGCCCCCCTTCCTCGATTGGATAGCAACACCTCTCCCAAGACCTCCAGCGAATACCCTTCACCCTTCCGGGTTTGTCCCACAGAAAAGCACTGCAGATTCTCTCCAAGCTCTGAACCACACCTTTGGGAGGGCTCAATACCTGCAATAGGTACATCGGCATGGAGGAAAGCACATGACGTAGCAGGACCAACTTACCCCCTGAGGAGAGTAGACGCGAGCTCCAGTGAAATATCCGGTCCCGCATCTTTGCCACGAGGCCATCAAATAGACAACATGTCACTCGCCCTTTCGAAATTGGCACCCCCAGATAGGTAAACGGAAGCTCTTAGCGTCGAAAATGAAGCTTTGCAGACACCAATCCCGCATGATCCACTGAAGCCTTATTTGAGAGCACAAACGAGCTCTTACCAACATTTATCCGCTGGCCCGAATACGCCTGATATCTCTCAAAAAGGCTTGAAAGTGCGGTCAAGCAGTCCTCTGAGCATCTAGCAAAAATCAAGATGTCATCTGCAAATGCCAGATAAGGCACCCGACTACCTCCTGAAGCGTAATACCGACCCTCGTCGCTCCGAAACAGACTCTGTAACCCTCAACCCAAAAATTCTGCCACTAAAATAAATAATGCCGGTGATAGGGGGTCCCCTTGCCGCACCCCCCTGGAAGATTTGAAGTAGCCCGCCGGGGATCCATTAACCATAACTGAGAACCAGTTATTTGCTAAGGACCGAAATATTAAATCCACGTTTCCCTCATCGAAACCAAACTGGCGGAGCATGAAAATTAGGAAACTCCATTCAACTCTATCGTAAGCTTTCTCCATGTCCAACTTCAAGATAAGATTCGGGTGTTTTAGCCTCCGATCCAGATCCAATACCAACTCCTACGCCAGCAGAATATTATCTGCTATTCCCCTGTCCTGCACAAAACTTGTTTGCCATTCAGAGACCAGTTTGGGAAGCATCCGATTAATGCGAGTTGCCAAGATTTTGGAAATCAACTTCGAACTCACATTGCACAGGCTAATCGACCTAAACTCCTGCCATTGCGAGGCCTCCGTTACTTTTGGAATGAGTACAATGGACATGCTGGTAAACCCCCTAGATTGTTGCACGCCCTCGAAGAACTCGCAAATTGCCGTAAGCAAATCTTCACAGATTATCGACTAGCAACCTTGGTAGAAGCCTGAACTAAAGCCATCTGGTCCAGGGGCACTATCCTGTGACATTGAGAAAACAGCCTCTTTTAACTCCTCCATAGTTGGTAACTGATGGAAATCCGAATTGTCAAGCAGGGTCAACTTTGGTACAGGGAAATCCAAGAGCGGCTGCGCTCTTTCTTCACGATCCGAGGAGAACAAGGATTTGAAAAAGTCTGCCGCCGATGCCCGAATGCCCTCCCTGTCCTTGATCCAGTGACCCGTGGCATCCTTAATCCGGGAGATGAAATTCATACTCCGCCTTTGTTTCACCACAGAGTGGAAGAACTTTGTGTTCGCATCTCCCGATTGAATCCATTTAACCGCTGATTTTTGTCATCAATACTTGCACTCAACACCCAGCGAGTGTGCAAGTGCCGCTCGGGCCTCCCCCAGTCTAGCTCTTGTTACCTCTTCTCGAACAACGTTGTATGCCATCTCGCATTGATGGAGGAGGGTCTCACCGTCCCTGACTTTCTGAAAAATGTTACCAAAGGAAACCCGGTTCCACTGACGAAACCTAGCTTTTGCATTACAAAGCTTGTAGAAAAAAGCTCTCATGCCCGTGGCATTCATCGGAATCTGCCATGCCTCCCTGACGACAGCCAAGAAACCTGGGAGACTCCTTCATACATTCAAAAAATGAAAGGACGAGGCCGAAGCGTTACCCTCACCACACCGAATCAAGAGCGGGGCATGATCTGACCGGCCACGCGTTAGATACATGACCTTGGGGCATCCAAATAACTCGGTCCAAGCTCCATTACTAAAGGCTCTATCCAAACGCTGCCATACGACCCCATTAGTCCAAGTGTATTGCGACCCCTCAAATCCTACATCAGAGAGTCCACAATTAAAGATTGCGTCGTTAAACTCCTCCATATTCGTCGGATTGGGTGGGGCTCCGCCTGATCTCTCGGTGGAGTTAGAAATAATGTTGAAATCATCGGCTACCAACCAAGGCCAAAACCCCTGACTCCTAGTAGAAACAGCCTCCATCGCCTCCCATAGCTGCCGCCTCCCCACCCGCGTGCACTTTGCATATACCGCAGAGATTTGAAATACGGAGCCCGGCCTTTCCACCTCCATGTGTACCATTTGATCCCCGACTTCTTGAAACAGGAGTGTCAAGTCATCTTTCCAGAAAAAGCCAAATCTTTCCTCCTGCTACCGCCACGACTTTCGTAAAACACAAAAACTGACTAATGGCCTCCACCTGATCTCCGCCTATCATTGGTTCAATTAAGACCAGCAAACGAATATGATGCTGAACACACAAGTTTTTGAGAAATCTTTGAGAGTCCTTCCGTGCAATGCCCCGAACGTTCCAAACCAGCAAATTAAATTGATTGATCATTAAAGGATTTGGAGGACCTAACTTGAGCTAACAATGCATGCAGTTTTTTGTTATAGTTGATAGGACGCCCTGACTTCCTAAAAAGCCTGTTCAGAAGCTCGATATCAATAGAGTCGATGGTGCCCGAGGAAGGTGTTGGGAGGCCTGACAAGAGGCCCTTGAGGCGTTGCACCAGCTCACTGTACGCCTCCCTGAGCCCCTGGGTAGATGCGTTGCCTGTCATGGCCTTGGAAAAGGACCATGAGCGCCGCAACGGCTTGGCACGAGGAGACGAGGTGGGCGAAGGAGATACCAAAGAGCCACACTTGCGGCGACTGAAGGGAGCAAGCATGACCCCTGGTTCATCCTCCATGCCCTCCAAGACCGCAAATGAATTGAAACAAACCACTTCCTCATCCTCTTGCTCTATACGGTCGCCCCCCTCGTGGCCCATGACAGCCGCTGGGGCCACTCCCACTGCCTCCACCTCTGAATCCCTTGGTGTACTCCCTTCCACCGCCTCCGCATTCTGTTGAGGATTGCCCATGCGTTCAGCCTCACCGCCCATCACGAGCTCTGCCTGCCCCACGCAAGCCGCGTCCACACCTGTGCCGGTGGCCTGACCTGCCGCCTCCCTAAAAGTAGCACTACCCCGTGCCTCCGGCCCAGGCTCCACTGCACAAAAGTCCCCCACATCCTCTGCAGGCTGGGTCTGTGGTAGCTCGTCTGTCTCCCGCCGTGGCATCGGCACTCATACCAACGCCCCCTGCCGAGTCTGCTCCCCTCCCGCCTCTGGGCCGCGCCCTTTTTCCTCCTGAGGCCGCACAGTAGCAGAGACTGTCTTGTCTTTCTGGCCCACCAGCTCTGGGAATTTCTTGCGGCAGTCTTCTTCGGCATGGCCCAGCTTCCTACAGAAGCCACAGAAGGCCGGCCATTGCTCATATTCTATGGACTGCCATTGTCCATAATCATCGTCTCTAATCCACAGTCGCTTGGTTGGAGGCCTGGAAACGTCAATCTCTATCAGCATTCTCGCAACCGACGGCCATTTCACCTGTAAAGTCGCAGCATCCAGTTGCAACGGCCTACCCAGCAAAGATCCAATCTTAAGCAGTGCTCGCTTGTCAAAGAAAGGCAGGGGCAATCCGGGGAGAGTTACCCAAACCGGAGCAATGGAGCTATCCTGATCCGCTCTGAAGTCCATCGACCATTTAGCAATCGTCATCGGTGAATTCTGAATGTACCAAGTTCTACTCACAAAAAGCCTGGAGTAGTCTTCTTCAAGCGCTGGTCTCAGTAGCACATGTTTGGTGTCCAGCAACCCCACCGAACAATCACCCTTGAGCCTCAAAATTGCCACAAACCTTCTAATGGCCTCCATAGATGGCCTCCTTAAAGCAAACCTGTCGATGAGTGCGTTGTGATAGGGAGCTGCCAATGCTGCCACTTCAGTCCTGGAAAGAATAAACGCTGGCTCTCCCCGATACACTCCAAGAGAGCCGAAGTCCGGAGCGACAGCGTCCCACCCCCAGCCGTCACATCCACAAAGGTCTTGGAGGCCCCATGCAGATCCTGTGTTGAAGACGTGGCCATGGGCCAAGGGGCCGCCATGGCCTAAGCCGCCGGAGGAGTACGGCGAGAGCAGTAGAAGAGGATTAGGGTTTTTTGCATGCGCCGCCAGAAAGTCTATCGATTTGTTGGTCACATGTATGTTTATTATCTACTCGCAACCTGGCATTTGCGAGATTACTTGCTCAAACAATTAAGTTGCGAACATAATTTTCAGATTATCTAATAAACAGAATTCGTCTAGATAATACTGGAGAATATACATCACGTGCTTTTGACGATAGTATGTCTATTAGATTAACTGTTGACCATCCTGTAACTTATATTCACACACAAAATGATCTAGCCGAATAATTTATTCAACGACTACATTTAATTGTTAGACCATTGTTGATGAGATCTAAACTTCCTTTATCTGTTCGGAGACATGCTATATTACATATATCAACACTTGTGAGAATTAGACTGACAAGTTATCATACTTATTTTCCCCTACAATTAGCATTTGGTTATGAGTCTAATATTTCTTATTTACGAATATTTGATTGTGCGGTTTATGTTCCAAGTGCACCGCCCCAACATCGTAAATTGGGCCCTCCAAAAAAGATTGGGAACATATATTGGGTATGAATCACCTTCAATAATTAAGTAGATTGAACCATTGACAGGTGATTTATTTACTGCGAGATTTGTAGATTGTCATTTTGATGAATCATATTTCTTGACATTAGGGGGAGGTAAAGATCAATCGAAAAAAGAAATGACTTGAAAAATATTATTGGATTTCCTTATTTCTCGTACAAAAGAATGTGAACTAGAAGTTCAAAGGATTATACATTTTATAAAAAATTGTAAATCAATTACCAGATGCATTTAATGACTCCAGAAGAGTTACTAAATCACATATTCCTACTAAAAATGCTCCGATTAAAATTAATGTCCCTAAAGAACATATTACAAGTGCTAATGAGTCTAAAGCGCGCTTGAAGTGTGGAAAATTTCTTGGTTCCAAAGATAAAAATTTTCGAAAGAAAAAAGAAGTAGATGAATCAACAATTAGTGACAAAATTCAACCTCTTGAAGAGGTCGCTCCTAAAGTACCAACTCTTGAAGAAAATGAAATTATAGAAAATTCAATAAATTTTGTCACTACAGGAAAAAGTTGGAACTGAAGAGAAATAATTATTGATAGTATTTTTGCATATAATGTAGCATTTGATATTATGATATAAAACGAGAATCATGAGCCTAGATCGGTTGATGAATGTCGACGTAGAAATGATTAGCCAAAATGGAAAGATGCGATCCAATCTGAATTGGATTCACTGGCTAAAAGAAAAGTGTTTGGACCTGTAGTCAAAATACTTGAAAGTGTAAAACTAGTAGGATATAAATAGGTATTTGTCAGAAAAAAATGAGAAAAATAAAATTGTGAGATATAAAGCAAAACTTGTAGTTCAAGAATTTTCACAAAGGCTTGGATTTGATTATAATGAAACGTATTCACCTGTAATGGATGCTATCACATTTAGATATCTTGTGAGTTTTACAGTGCATGAAAAATTAGATATACGTCTAATGGACGTTGTTACTACATATTTATATAAAAATCTTGAAAATAATATTTATATGAAAATTCTCGAAGGATTCAACATGCCTGAAGCATGCAAATCAAATTTTAAAGATATTTATTCTATTAAATTACAAAGATCTTTATATGGGTTCAAACAATCTGAACGTATGTGATATAACCGTCTCAATAAATGTTTAATTAAAGAAGACTATACTAATGATCCAATATATTCATGTGTTTTTATTAAAAAAAATGGGTCAAATTTTGTGATAATTACTGTATATGTTGATGATCTAAATCTGATTGGAACTCCTGAAGAGATTCAAAATAGTGTTGAATATTTGAAGAAGGAATTTGAGTTCAAAAATTTTGGAAAGACAAAATTCTGCCTTGGTTTACAAATTGAGCATTTGAAAGGTGAAATTTTTGTCCACCAAACTGTTTATACCCAGGTATTAAAGCGATTTTATATGGATAAGACGCATACATTAAATACTCCAATGGTCGTTAGGTCATTAGATCCTACTAAGGATCCTTTTAGACCGTGAGAGGAAGATGAAGAGATATTTAGTCCTGAAGTACCATATCTTAGTATCATTAGCACACTGATGTATCTTGCTAATTGTACACGACTTGATATATCATTTCTAGTGAATTTATTAGCAAAATATAGTTCCTCGGCCACAAAATGACATTGGAATGGTATTAAACATATTTTTCGCTATCTCCAAGGAACAGTCGATCTTGGTTTATTTTATTCAAATAAATCCAAGTCTG